TATATGTGTGAAATATAATGAAGCCCATTTATTATGTACATGATAATAAACACATGAAAAATTATTAAATATAAGTTTTTATATTTTAACCTTCATTGCTACAGAACCCCTTAAAAATCTCTATTGTGGTTTTCATCTGCAGTCTGGTGCTAAACAGCACAGATAACAGTATTTGAAAGTTAACATGTATATAATCTAAACTCATCTAACAAAAGGTATAACTACTGTTTCTCTGGATCACAAGTTCTATATGAAATAAACCATCTCAAGATTATTGAATAACCCTTTTAAAATATGGCAACTAGATAAACTCTTTTAGACCTCACTGCTCAAAAATAAAGCTAAATATATTTCCAAAATTACTAAAAGGACATGGTGGCACAAGCCTGTAGCTCCTATTCCTTGGGATGCTGAGGTTGGAGGAACCGATTGAGCCCAGGAGTTAAAAGCCAGTTAGAGCAACATAATGAGATCCCAGCTCATTTATTCATAAATAAATAAGTGAATAAATAAGTAGGAAAGGCAATGAGAATTTTGATTGAAATAATATCCAGGTAACTTAGCATGTGGCTTTGAAAACAACATCACAGAGCAGAAGTATCTGACCTAAGACAATGGGTCCTATAATGCTGGAGGATATATGGACTCCTCATCTGCTCCACTGTAAAGATTCTGGGTCTTCCACTCAGAGCTTTCCAAGGAATAAAGTGCTGTCTTATATCAGCCACTTGGTCCTTCTGGAGTTCAAGTTTTCTATTCCTAGATGGCTACAGTTCAATAAATGCTGTCCATGACTTTCAAACGGCTACTGTACAGCTGATCAATTACTGTAGCCTCCTGGATACTTTCAATTCTTTTTTTCCATGAGACAGGGTCCCATGAATCCAATGCTGGTCTCAAATTGCCTGTATAACTAAGGTTGACCTTGACTCTCTGTGATCCTCCTGCCTTCACTCCCAAGTCCTGATATTACAAATGTGTGCCACCACACTCATTTTACATGGTGCTGAGACCATGGGCTTAGCAAAAGACCTTGTCTCAAAGATGCAGACAAGTACTCTACAAACTGAGCTACATGCCCAGTCTGAAAGTTTCTATTTTATTTTTTTTTTATTTTTATGTGTATGAGTGTATTGCCTGCATGTGTGTAAGTGTACCTATGCTGTGCCATGTCTATGGCGATCAGAAGAGGGCACTGGATTTCCCCTGGAACTAGACTTATGGATGGTTGATAGCCACCATACGGGTGCTGGAATCAAACTTGGGTCCTCTGCAAGAGTAGCCAGTGCTCTTAACCACCAAATCATCTCTTCAGCACCAAGTTTCAATTCTATAATTTACTTTTGGGGGGCACTTTTGGAAATAGGGGCTCCCTGCAGCCACAACTGGCCTGGAACTCCCTATGTAGACATGGCTGGCCTTGATCTCACAGAGATCTGCCTACCTCAGCCTCCCAAGTGCCGGTATTAAAGGTTAAGAGCCACTATGCCTGGCTCTAATTTGCTTTCAAAACAAAGTATTCTTTGGTAAATTCAAATTTGATATTAGTAAAAACAAATACATAGCCCTTCATTTAAGAGATCTTGAAAATGCTTACAATCCCTAAGTGAAATCAAGACTCCAGACTGAAAATCACTGAATCAGTAGCAAGGTACTGAACTTAAAGATCTGTTTCCTGCCTTCTAGAATAGGATTCAATTCTGTTTTTATGAGCTACAGGCACTCCTGGAGAGACACATCTAAAGCAAGCTTACAGGTCTCCTGATTTTATCAATAGGATTAACTACATTTTCCCCTAATGTAAGTTTTATTATTCTAATGCCATATGTTCACATCTTACTCTGAAAGCATTTCTAGATATATAGTCATATGCTAAAGAAAGCAAATTCTATTTTTAAGCAAATATAAAAGAATACTGACACAATTAGTGCACTGAACCAGGAGCCGCTTCTAAATAAAAAGATGTTAAATATTTTTTTTAAGTTAAATATATATATTTTTAGATTTCATTTCTAAGAGGCCGGTTTGGTGGGGGGACAGGGTACTACAAAACAAGACTCTATTATCCCTTTCCTCAACTTTAAGGAAAAAGAGCATATCTCAAAAAAGGGATGTACAGGTTGAGAACACAATACCATCTGCTGTTGCAGTGTCCCAGCCATTAACCAGATCTGTTTCTCCAAGACCCAAAGCACCTGCATCTCCACACCTGCTTGAGGATGGGCGGAGGGCCTTTATCCTTGTAGTACTTTACTCTTTAACATCACGGGATATTACTAATATAAGGCTTTTCTTTTTTTTACAAGCTTGCTCCATTGGCTATTGCTAAGATACTTTAGTACCTCAGTAATAACTACACCTGGATCCACTGGGCTTCTTCCGCAGTCACATAACAGGCCATCATTCTGCAAGGCCACAATGAACTGAGAATTAGAATGAACTGGGGAGGTCAACGGGTAATAGAATTATAAAGATCTAGGCCGAAGAGGTCAGAAAATGGCTCAGCAGTTAAGAATACTGGCTGTTCTTGCAAACTACTTGAGTTTGGTTCCTGGCACCCATATTCATGGGACCTCACAACCCCAGTCTCTAACCCCAGTTCCAGGAGATCTGATGCCTTTTTTGAGCCTCCATAGGCACTGCATGTTCGTGGTACATGCGTGTGCACATGTACACACACGAAAAACACTCATACACATAAAATAAATTTCTAAAGAACTTTTAAATATAGGTTAAAGTAAATTTAAAAATTCACATTCAGTAGACTATCTCATCTTCTATTGACACCACAATGACAACCCAGGGTTTTTCTGTGCCTTCCTTCTCCCTATAGAAGCACAGCAGTTCAAGATGTGCTTGCTACTCCCAGAATAGATTTTCCTCCCAGAGTGATCAATCAAAATGCCCTATGAGAAAAAATATGTCCTCCAGATCTGACCTAGACTTTACTACTGAATAATTTTATTTTTAAAGAAGTCTGCTTGGGGGATGGGGAGAGATGGTTCAGTAGGTAAGGGCAATTGCTGTGCAAGCAAGATCTGAGTTTGAATCCCCAGCACCCAAATAAAATCTGGGAATAGAGGTGGTGAGATAGCTTAGAAGTAAAGGTGCTTGCTGTGAAGCCTGATGATCTGAGTTCGATACCCAGGACCCACATGGTAGAAAGAGAGATCTGACTCTCTCAAATTGTCCTCTGACCTCCACCATAGATACCTGTGTCATGGCACATGTTCATATGCATGTAAAAAAGAAAAAAAAAAACCACAAGCACAATAAATAAAATAAATGTTTTTAAAAGTCAGGCAAGGGGGTTGCTGGAGAGATGGCTCAATGACTAAGAACACTGGCTGTTCTTGCAGAAAACCCAAGTTCGAATCCCAGCATCCACATGGCAGCTAACTGCTGTCCATAACTCCA